TCTGTAGTTCGTACTGAAGGTTTAAGAGGCAATGTTACGTTCTGTAGTTCGTAACGAACGTTTAAGAGGCAATGTTACGTTCTGTAGTTCGTAACGAACGTTTAAGAGGCAATGTTACGTTCTGTAGTTCGTAACGAACGTTTAAGAGGCAATTTTACATTCTGTAGTTCGTACTGAAGGTTTGAGAGGCAGTGTTATGTTCTGTAGTTCGTACTGAAGGTTTAAGAGGCAGTGTTATGTTCTGTAGTTCGTACTGAAGGTTTAAGAGGCAGTGTTATGTTCTGTAGTTCGTACTGAAGGTTTAAGAGGCAATGTTACGTTCTGTAGTTCGTAACGAACGTTTAAGAGGCAATGTTACGTTCTGTAGTTCGTACTGAAGGTTTAAGAGGCAATTTTACGTTCTGTAGTTCGTAACGAACGTTTAAGAGGCATTGTTACGTTCTGTAGTTCGTACTGATGGTTTAAGAGGTAATGTTACGTTCTGTAGTTCATATTGAAGGTTTAAGATGCAATTTTACGTTCTGCAGTTCGTACTGAACAACACGGCGACTGCACCCAGGAAGTCAGAAGAAGACGTAATTTAGCAATACACATATTAAACGTCTCTCTCTCTCTCTCTCTCTCTCTCTCTCTCTCTCTCTCTCTCTCTCTCTCTCTCTCTCTCTCTCTCTCACCCCGCCAGGACATCACACAAGCTATAAACACCCGGTGTCACAACGTGCAGGTAATGAGGGTCACCCATGGAGAAGTTCCAGAAACCCCTTTCAGCCTTTTGGCCATGTTTATGGCCCCGCTATATTCAGTACCCCTGGTAAAAGCCAGGGTGGGGCTTCAAATAACGAAACATTGCATTCCACATGGGGACACGACTGATATAATTCATATCAAACAGCACGAAAAAACCCATAGCATAGCACCTGCAGACGAGTGAAAGGTATCAGTAAAAAATTTCTTTCATCATATTTTTTTTTTCTTCCGTGGCAACTTAATGAAAATAATCCATGGACTCTTACTCAGTCATTCAAGAAAAATATCTGATTGAGATGTTACAAAAACATTCTTAGAATACCACGGGCCAAGGTAGAAGAGAAACACCACCTTACATGATTTGACCATCAAGGAGAACTGCCTCGTAAACAGCATCCCGTCCAGACACCTGTAGTATTTTGGCCATGTTAGACGTTATGGGGGAGGGGGGGGGGGGGGTTGAGGGCGCCGTTTCCAGAGAACGAGCCAGAGGCCGACTTCCGCGAAGGCCGATACAAGACATTGAAGAAGCATTGGCTATGAAAGCACACAGGGCTGGGGAATTAGTTAGTGACAGAGATAATTTCAGGCGTGCCGTAACGAGAGCGACGTTCTGTAAAGGACCTGCTGATTGTTGATGAGTTTTTACTGCCTGGCGACTGCACGAGCCATGCGGCCTTATATCGTCAGGCACACAACCCCCCTCCCCCTTCCCCTTTCTTTTTTTACCGCTACACCACCAGTTGCTAGATATAGGCAATACAGACAGCCTGTAACAGCATCCTGAAAGGTTTCTTCTTCTTCGCCTTCACTGGCAGTAAACTCCGGTGGAAAGTTGTGGTTGTTCATCCACCTCTGGACTTTAGACTTGTTCCTGAACCTGAGTGTTGCGTGCTGCACATCCTTTTTTAACAGATCTGACTTTTTTATGTGCAGACTGTTGGTTCCTTGCCTATCGGGCAGATGCAGTTCCTTTGAAGGAAACTCCCAATTAGTCGACTGATACGGCATGCGTATTGGGGAGGCAGTGGGTCTATTCTTGTTTCCCCCACAATGGGACCCCGGAACCCACACGGGGACTGAAAGGCTTGACCTCACAATGTTGTCAAAATCAACGCCGAGCGGTCTTGCTGTCAACTTACCGGCAGCTGACCTCAAACCCTCGTATGTTAGAATTATTAATCTGCATTCATAACACCTCAGGTGACACGCGCTGACATTTACCCTGTACACTGTATATCTGCTTTGCATTGTTTGTTGCATTCGTTGGCTGTTGTATCTTGGCTTTGTTAATTGGCAACGCTACACGCATTCGTATGACCCATTTGTGGTATCAGAATAATGCGCAGCGCTAAGTATATTGATTTTTCTTGCGCTTTGTTGGAACATTGTCAATTTCGCATAAGTGTTTGGTTGTTTTAATGTGCATTCGCGATCTTCTTTTTCTTCTTCTTCTTCTTCTTCTTCTTCTTCTTCTTCTTCTTCTTCTTCTTCTTCTTCTTCTTCTTCTTCTTCTTCTTCTTCTTCTCCTCCTCCTCCTCCTCCTCCTCCTCCTCCTCCTCCTCCTCCTCCTCCTCATCCTCCTCCTCCTCCTCCTCCTCTTATATATAATCAAGATTCAGATGTAAATGCTGACTTCCATCCTCCTCCACCACCTCCTCCTCCTCCTCGTTCTTCTTCTTCTTCTTCTTTCTCCTTCTCATCATTCCCCTCCTCCATCACCACGTCCTCCTCTCCTCCTCAACCCGTGAGATTCATTGCTACAGGTATAACCCATCTCATTTCGTTTCTGTGATAGCCTCTTGTTTCAGTTTGAGACTTGAAGTGCTTGTAAGTCTGCCTTTATTTTGTGTCTCCCCCGTTTTCTTGAACCTGCCCTTGGTCGACTCACATCCACTTCTTTTGTGGTGTGTGTGGGTGGGATAAGTTGGTTTTACTGTTAATTTTAGGTTGTTAGATTTTCATTCTTTTCATTGACACCTGTACATGGGGGGGGGGGGGGGGGGGGGGGTTGCAAGGCCGTTTTAGTGGAAATGGCAACTGAATTTCGATACTGTTTCATACCGAGATCCACAGAAAACTGTCTGTATCAAATTAATTCCAACAGATGGCCTTCTTTTAAAGCTCAGATAAATGTCTGATGGCTCGTTTTTATTAGTTGACGAGAACGCCATTACGTCTAAAAACTATCAGTGATCCAGATGCAAAATAACTGTCAGTTGATTGGTTAAATCCTAAGGTATTCTTATGTGCAATTTGAACAATTTAACTTTCAATCAGAACTTGGACAAAATTATATTCCTTTCAGTAGCAGTGCGTTTCTTAGGCGGGCGCAGCCTTCGTAGGGTTTTTAGCCACCTCAACTGCTATAAGAAAGTGAGAGGCCATTAACCTAACTACTGTTATAAGGGGGTTATTAAGAGGGCAAGAATTTGACAAATAGCAAAAGATAAGTTCTGGCGCTGGCCCAATCCCGTTGCCATTGATCAAGCTGTTGCTGCAGTTCGCACTGTAAACCCGAGATAGCTGCTGTCTTGTTTGACGTCGTATGTAGGTCACGGAGTGGGCGAGAAGGATCGTGGGCTGTTTGTTCAAAGTAACAAACATGCTCTTTTCTGTGTGGGGGCTGTATGTTAGGGACTTTCTACTTTTCCCCAAGCACAGTTATGTCACAGTATGACATCATTTTATAATTGAAAGCATACATATATGTAACCTACAGATCTGTTGTAGAAAACCTATTAAAAGGGGGGGGGGGTGGAGGTGCTGGTGGAGGGGGTCTCTTGGTCTCGGGGCATGGTGTCCGTCTCGAGTGCTTGAGGTTCCGGGTTCAATCCCGGTAAGGGCTGGGATTTTTTTCGCGTGGAATTCCCCCTTGTCTCTGGTTCGTGAGATCGGACGCCCGTGTACATTGTTGCGCACGTTAAAAAATCCTTTGGCATTTTGAAATCGAATAGAGTAGCCTAACGGCGCTGCCCGGACAAAATTTGGAGTTGAAAATCTACCCAAAATATTTCAGGATCCTCGCCGGTCCTACAGAGCCTCTGCACTGTGCTGAGCTTCTCCGGACTCAGACTTGAGTTAGAGGTATAACGGAGCACCCGTGTGCCATGATGTTGATCAGTTGTTCTAAACCTCAAGAAAACATTTCTTTAGAGAGGCAAAGTTGGCACTTTCTCGTCTTTCCAGACAATAGTGTTATATTGCGATATGAGGGGGCATGGGACTCACAGCCCATGGCGATGGCGAGTGTGACTAGCAAGATCCGCCCAGGTTAAGAAGAGGCTGCCAAAATTATAGCATGGGATTTTAGGACCACTGTTGTGAACATTTGTGATTAATCTGTTTCTTCTCAGACGCTCAGCTCTCATCCTTTCTGCAATCATTCTCGATTCCATCTTGGTGTGTCCCCTCCACTCAACACGGTCCATGACATTTTGCTCCCATGAGTCCACCTCAATATCTGTATCATCCATGTCCCGCTTGCACACGTCTTTACATCGTAGTAGAAGTAGGACTATACATACTCTATCCTTCTTTATTTCACCATAAAGGATGTCCCGAGGGACTTTGCCATCCTCAGTTCTCTATGTGTGACCCAGCCACCTGAGCCTTCGTAGACTGAGCATTGAGAAGACTGTTGCAATACCGGCTCTTCCCTATACCTCATTGTTTGTGATCTCGTGGAGACTAAGTTACTTGTCTGTAAAACTACAGGGTCCTCGAGATTGATCGCGGGGATTATAAACTGTTCTTATAAAAGAAGCTTTGAACGAATACATACTTTAAATGTTCAGACAGGTGTAATAAAGCTTTGTATGAATTTGTCTGATTATGAGGCTTGATACAGCGTTGAGAAAAGGAACTTCCAACACATTAAAGAGAGGGTCGCTCCAGTAATTGCAGCTGTAATTCTGTTCACCTCTTTGACCCTCATTGAATCTCTGTGCCACTTTGTTTCGTCCAGTTTCCTTCTGAACATATATATATATATATCAAGTTTTTCTAGTGAATTGTTTGTACTGAATGTGTGAAATTTTCATTCATTTCAGAACCACACAATGACCAGACAGTTGTACCAGAGCCAGAAAAAATACAACATTGCCATGTGTACAACAGTCTTGATCTTAACTTGTTGTAGGCCCTGTATGCCTAGAGCGTGCTCCTGATACTTGCCTGCATCAACAAGTTGCAGTGGTTATTACCTTAACCCCCCAAGTGTCTTTTGTGTCCTTTCTTCATGATATTTGATCATGTCTTCCAAAGACACATCTTGTTACCGACCCAGAGCCCAGATCACAGAGAAGCCAGCAGATGGCAGCATGCATTTCACCATCATGAAGCATCCCAAGGAAGCTCTAGAGGTCATGAGCATCCTGCGGCGCTCAAAGAAACTTTGCGATGTCACTCTTGTGGTTGGAGAGGAGAAGATCATGGCACACAAGATTGTCCTAGCAGCAGCAAGTCCTTATTTCCGGGCCATGTTTACCAGTGGCATGAGGGAGGAAGAGATGACCACAATTCCACTGCACGGAATCTCACCCTGCACCCTGGCGCAGCTAGTAGAGTTTGCTTACACTGCCGAAGTTAATATAAAAGAAGGCAACGTGTGCTATCTCTTGCCAGCTGCCACTATGTTTCAGATGAACCATGTGGTGGAAGCCTGTACAGTGTTCTTAGAGCATCAGTTAGACCCTAGTAACTGCATAGGGATAGCAGATTTTGCTAGTGAACACGGCTGCTTAGAGCTGGAAGGTAAAGCTAGGAAGTATATTAGAAAGCATTTTTGCGAGGTAATTCAGTGTGATGAGTTTCTGGTACTGAGTCCTTGCCAGATGATTAACCTGGTGAAGCAGGACGAGCTGAATGTCCAGTGTGAATCCGAAGTTTTCAAGGCAGTTATTCGCTGGGTGGAGCATGACCCGGAGAGAAGACTTGAAATTCTTGAAGGGCTTTTGTCTTCCGTACGTCTCAATTTTCTGTCTCCGAAATTCTTAGAGCAGCAGCTGAAAAGTTGTCATTTGTTAAAGAAGATGCCCAAGTGTATTGAAACCATATCCGAGAAGTTAAAAGGCTTGAAGCTTCACCAGAAGTGTTCGGATTTACCCAGGAGGCCCTGTGCTCCACTGGTAGTGTTTTGTGCTGGTGGCTATCTGAGACAGTCTTTGAGTAACTTTGAGTGTTATAACCCCAAAAATAAGCAGTGGCTGCGGCTGCCTGATTTACCCATGCCGCGGAGTGGGTTGGGGGCCTGTATGGTTCGGGGAGCGCTGTATATCATCGGAGGCAGGAACAACTCACCGGACGGCAATGTGGATCTTAGCAGTCTGGATATGTACGATCCCATGAGGAATGTGTGGATACCCAAGCACCCCATGAATTATCCACGTAATCGAGTAGGAGTTGGTGTTATAGATAACATGATCTACGCTGTGGGAGGCTCACATGGAACTGCACATCATAACTCAGCAGAAAGGTAATAAGGCCAAATCATTTTTATTGATGTGTTTGTGTGTATACACACACCTATGTGCATTGACACACACACATGCACAACATAAGGTGAGGGAAAGCCATACTGTCTTGTATGCATCAAAGCCATACTGTCTTGTATGTACACCTGTGATACTGGTGTATATATATATATATACATATATATACACATATATATATATATATATATATATATATATATATATATAATATATATATATATATATATATATATATATATATACACACACACACACACATATTATATATATATATATATATATATATATATATATATATATATATATATATATATATATATATATATATATATATATATATGTACGTATATGTATGTGAGAGAGAGAGAGAGAGGGGGGAGGGGGAGAGAGAGACTATCTTATACATATTATAAAGAAACACTAAAATGAATATTTCTAAGGGAGGCCAAAAGTGCTAGACTAGATTCCATCCATGATATCAGAGGGATTACACAGGATATAATTGAATGGAAAAATAGACTGAGAGCCTTATGTGACACACAACAGCACAACACTACAATGATGATGATAAATATAATTATCATAATGTCCTGAATATGAGTGCACGCCATACTTCCTGTTTGTGTACATGCCATACTGTTCTGTGTAAACAAATGCATCGGCAACTCTGTCACCCATTGGCTGGTCAGTGGTCGCCCATTGGTTGCCCAGTGGATGACTTCGTCATCGGTCGGGGCAGTATTTGGGCCTGTCTCTCTTGATCGCATCAACACTGTGAGAGTCCTTTTGAGGGCTTTTTGGCTAGCAATGTTAAGCTATTTTAAATTGGGCACATAAAACTGGTCACGATTATAACCAAAAGCTCCCCTTCTTTGGGGGATGTTGGTTGACTGTGACCGTATGTTGTTGTTGAGCAAAGCAACGGAACAGTTTATATAAATGTCACAATGTCTTATGTTTATCTATAAACCTGATGTTATCATTCCTGCTGTATCAGACTAGTTCATACTCTTGTTGCCTGCAGGTATGACACAGAAAACGACTGCTGGACAGAAATAGCAAGTATGTCTTCCAGACGTATAGGAGTTGGCTGCGCTGTCTTGAACAGGCTGCTGTATGCAGTGGGCGGCTTTGATGGGCAGAATAGATTGTGCAGCGTGGAGTGCTACGATCCTGAACACGACCAGTGGACGGAGATCAAGCCTATGAACACAATGAGGAGTGGTGCAGGTAAAGCTTGCTGTTTGAAGTACATACTGGCAGCTGGCTGTATGGGTGGCGAGTGTGCTCGTCTAGCCAACTGTGTTCTGGGGTTCACCTCTCACAAAATCGTATCAGACTCCATTATCATGCTTATGAAAATTGCAACAGGTAGTGCAGTGCAGACCTTTAAGGCAATCTCAGGTGGTGAATTTCTGTTGTGAAAACTACTTGTTTATCCCCAGCAATTTTTCTTTCTTGAACTCTTATCTGTTAAGAAGAATTTCTGATAAAAAAACCATTTTTTGGGTCCCCGGTGCGTCCTCCTTATCAGGTCTGCATTTAAATGTTTTAAATGGGTAGAAGGCATTCAGAAATCGCACCTAACTTTCCTCAGCTGAATCTATACAGTCGGTCATGTCAGCCTAAAAGATAATGAACGAACAGACTAATGGGCAGGCAATACAACAGTGTATGTGGGAAGAAGCATAGACAGAGCAGGGCAGGATATCTGGGCTGTATGGAATAGGTTAGTGGATAACGACAAGTCTCAGACACTTAACACGATTGCCTGACCTGGGAGTAAAGCATGGTAAAGGACGATTATGCTCCCCTTTGAGGTCGAGATGGGAGACATTATAACCATCTTCTCTTGGAAACAGTCAGTAGAGGTACCTTGGAGTGGCTGCTCCATCAGAGGACAGAAAACGCCTGGAAATGCCCAATATGCCGTGGCATCAGTGTTGTAACATAACTTCTCAGGAAAGCCAGAGGAAAATCCAGTCATTGGGAGGTTGAGAGGGTCAGCTTCTGTCCTGTCTATGCTTTCCAGAAAAATCTCACATTACATTTTCACGAATGTTTTCACCCTCTGGCTGTACTGATATTCGTAGTGCAATATTATCTATCTGTCCACAGTACCATCCTGGCACCATGCCTTCTGCTATTATTTTTTCCCCACTCCGCTATGGTGCTTGATATGTGTGACCAAAATATTTCAGCTTCTGAGACAAGATGCTGTTTATTAGCCAGTCTTCCTTGATGTTCATACACCGTACTGCCCCCTGTGGGAGGGAAGGAGCCGGAAGGGTGCTGAACAGTCTTAGAAGTGGTAACAAGTATGCTAACCCCCTGAATACCGGAAACTATTGTGAAGGCACAGAGACTTAGGACACGACGATCCAGTTGCCCTAACTACTCATGCTTAGGCCATGCTTAGAGCCAAGAAGAGCTCAGCGAAATCTGCAGGCAATCTGGTGGCAGGGAATGAGTCCACTGTGAGCCCCACCTTAGCTACGTGTTGAAGGGGAAGGCAGAAACACAATCTATATTTCCCTAAGAACTGACACAGTGCACTTCTGGCTGCTGTCCGGGGAGGGAGGTAATCCACAGGCACCACAATACCAATCCTTGATGTTCAGATTTTTTAAAATGTCTGCTTATTAAACACTTACCTAGCAATAGGTGTTTCGTCCTTTTTAGGACAAAATTTTTTGTTATTTGAAGCCCCACCCTGGCCATTTCCAGGGCAGGCCAATTGTCGGAACACGGTTTCTGGGACCTCTCCACGGTGATCCTCATCCACATGGTGGCACTTTGTGTCATCGGGTGTTTATCGCTTGTGTGATGTCCTAGTGGGGTAGAAAGTCAGTCAGTCAATGTCAGTTCCTGTGTACTATTTCCTGTATATATTATTTTTTCCCCCTTTATTTATAATTTTCCCCAATAGTTTTCTTCCAAAAACAATCTTAGCTTTTAGGTTGACAGCTTAAAATGGGTATCAGATAAATTCCTGGGAAGTAAAGGTGGCCCACCTGATGTTGGTATTATCACCTATCAAGTGTCGATTGGTCTGTAAAAAAAAATGGGTCTAGCATCATATGCCCAGAGCAGATTAACTCGAATAGGGAGCTTTACTGTATATTTTTCCCCCCGGGGAAAATAGCGGTGGACACACTGTTAATGGGGCTGATGTTATTTATAATGAAAACAAGCATTATTATTTTTGTAAACGATCACATTTATTTAAAAATTTAAAAAGTCCCATGAAAATTTCAGTTACAGTGAAATATTACCTTGTATTGACAGCTGGCTCACATTTTTAACAACATGTGTGAATGTTTTCAAAACCGTGTGTGGTTTTTGAATGACAGTGTAGATTTGTAGTAACCGGTCATCACACATTTTGCAGTCTTGCCACGGTTTCGTTTTTAAATGCATAAAAAAAAACCTGTGTAAACCAGAGAGATAAAGTTAAATTACACCTGTAAGCTCCCCGTTTCGGTTCTGGGGCCCTATTATAGGGGAAAACAAGAAAAGACCAACTGCCTACCCAAAAGCATGTCGACTAATTGGGAGCTTCCTTCGAAGTTGGAGTGCATCTGCCTGAGAAGCAAGGAACCAACAGTCTGCACACAAACGTGTCAAATCTGTCAAACGGATGCATGCGCAACACCCAGGTTCTGGAACAGGACTGCGGTCCAGAAGTGGACGAGCAACCATAACTTTCCACCAGAGTTTACAGCCGGTGAACGCCAAGAAGAAGAAGAAGGAGATGGAGAAGAAGAAGAAGAAGAAGATGGAGAAGAAGAAAAAGAAGAAGAAGAAGACACCTGTAAGCTTTGCTTTGTGAGTTTTGTTTTTGTATTTCTGGTTACTTCCAGTAATTAACTAGAAAGATGTTAAATAAACTGTTTTTAACTGCCTGTGTTTACCAGTTGTGGGGGAGGAGGGGGAAAGGGTTATTGTTATTGATCCAGCGGTGCATGAGCTCTTGCCCTTTGGCCCAAAGCAATGTAGTAGAATTTACACGTTTTCACAAGCTGTTCTTCTCCTCCATACAAGCTGTTCCACCTGTCTGGTCTTGGAGAGAGTAGCATTCTTCTAGTCTCGTTGAGTTTTGGGCACTCAAAGAGATGATGGTCAACAGTTTCATAGGGGTAGTTACATAGCTGGCAGAGGAGTGTTGTGGCTGTATTCTGTTTAGGTGTCCATTGAGTGGAGTATGTTGTGTTCTGAGTCTGAAGATGGTGGCCTGGTCCCTTCTTGTTAAATGGTTAATGCTGTCGTTAGTTTGTGGTAGTAGGGTATTTGTTGTGCAGTTACTGAAAATATTGAAGTAACAATCCTTGCACTTTAAAAAAAAGTCCTGTACAGTTTTACTGAGCAGTTGCTGATTTTTACTGACTGTAACTTTGACTAGGCAAATTACGTGAATATTGTGTACAGGACTTCATTTTTTGCTGTTTATATAAAAAATATCAGCTACAGACAGAATTTGGTTCCCTGTGTTATTCCATGTGTTTATTTCCCCCCCCCCCCCCACCCACCCCCGCTTCTAACCACTTTTTTCTAATAATTAGCAAAAGTTATTGAAAATATGTTGAATCAGCTCTGTTTTGTGTAAACATAAACTGGATCAGACAACAATTACAGCACAGGGCCAGACAGTTTTTCACCTGACACCTGAATTGTGTCGCTTTATCTGAGTTTTATTTATGGTTTTTCTTGGCCCATATTTGCAACCTCTTGGGTTTGAATCTGCATCAAGGTGGATTTTTCTCAAAATTTAACCTGGCTTCCAGGTCGACTCTGCCTGAAATGGGTACAAGATAGTGTCCTGGAAGGTAGAGGCGGCCTGCATGATGTTGACCACATCACCCAGCGAGTGCCAGTTGTCTTTAAAAATGTGATATTAGCATCACATGCCAGACAGGCCACTGGTGTAAATAAGGTCGTCGATTACTTTTACACGTTTGCAACAAGGACATTGCCAGTCACAGACTGTTTCTCATACAGTTTTTAAAAAAAATGTAAAGGCCCTTTTTCCACGCCTTTAGGCATATAGGGCTAGACCTATATTTGTATAGACCAATCGGCACAAGATGGGTGATGTGGTCAGCCTCACGCAGAAGCATGCACCAAGAGGAGGAAACACACTGATATTCTTCAAGATCTGAATACTGAGGGGAAACTTGCTCATAATAAACAGTAGTTTCTGGTAAACTGAAATGCTTTGGCCATATTAAACATCCTAACTCTTTCACTACGAAGTAACATGTGATGTGTGATTGGCTCTTCTGCGAATCCCTGATTGGCTCTTCTGCGAATCCCACACAGCATCACACATATTTTTGTTCTTTTTTACATTTGATCAGAGAATACTAAAGAAACCTGGACTCCATATTATTCAGTTTTTTTTGTCATTAGGACACTTACAATTTTTATAGTGGTTGATACAATTCAAGATAATGCTCGCTCAGAAGATTTGATCATTTACACTGACGGTTCAGTGTCAAAAGACAAAAGAAGTGCTTGGGGTTTTTTAGCAAAAGTTAATGGTTGACGTTTGGTGCTGGAGAGCCTGGCATATGATATCACAACATACAGCTTAAGAATGGAGGTGGAGGCGGTCACTGTAGCTTTCCACTAGCTAGAGAACATGACACACACACACATTGGGATTGTAACTGACTCAGAAAGCATGCTGAGGAAGATCAGGACAGGCATGCTTCGTGCAGAGTGGCATGGCTCGCTGCGAAAGACATGGGTAAGCAGAATTGTCTGGATTTTTTCACCAGGGCATGCCGGTGTGTTGGGAAATGAACAGGTGTACAGACTGGTTGGCTCTGCACAGCTTGGTGGAATACTGATGCATGATAGGGCAGACGTGGTTAGTGCCTTGTGGGAGAGCTTATACAGTTCGGAGGAGCAGATTGATCACCACAGTGTGGTGAGATTGATGCAGTTGGGAGTGACAAGAAGTTCTGGCAGATTCTTGAGGCTCAGAGGAAAGACAAGACGGACATTTAGTCAGAATGCTACTGGCACCATTAGTAGCGGAACTCTTCGCTGGCTGCTGAAGATGGGGACGGAGCACTTATGGGAATGCCTGGAGTGCTGTGATGTCGGTTCTTGAATCAAATCAAATCAGATCAAATCAATAGTGGTTGAAACACTCCTGTGAGACTGTCTGTTACCGACAGAGTTATTGGTTTGAGGAAACCGTGGTACCTCGAATAAGTGGTAGAGTTTACCAGAACATTTGTGGACAGAGGAAATCAAGGACACCCTGGCATAAAAGTTCACAGGACGGGGAAGTTTGCAGAGGACCAGTAGGCTTCTTTGAATGCCATAATAAGAGTGACACTATGTACAGGACCTGCTACATGATGATGATGGTGGTTCTTGAAATATTTGTTGTTGTGTCTACCTCGGGTCATAACACACTTAAAAAGATGCACATTTTTTTTTTTTTGGGGCATATCCGAAATATTTCTACACTGGGGTAGCCAAAACACACAGTGGAAAGATAGAGATTTTGGGCATAATATACCATCATCACCCTTTACTTCCCAACTGTTCTACCATTTTTGCAAACCTCAGTGAAGACAAAACAAGTCATTAACCATAACCTCATATTTTACGTCATGGTGACAGGTTGTTACACATACAACATTCATTGTTACGTCTCTCTGTGCAGGTGTCATTTAACATTTATTGTTACGTCTCCCTGTGCTGCAGGTGTCATTGCCATGGACAGCTTCATCTATGCAATCGGAGGCTATGACAGCAGTTGTCAGCTGCGGTCGGTGGAGAGGTACAGCATAGACAAGAACCAGTGGGAGTTTGTGGCTCCCATGAGCAGTCCTCGGAGCGCGCTCAGCGTGGCAGTCATAAGTAACCAGCTGTTTGCACTGGGTGAGTGTTTGGCTGACCTGTGGGGGGGGGGGGGGGGGGTGCCACTGGTGTGGTGTGTGTTGGTTTGCACTGGGTGAGTGTTTGGCTAATCTCTGGGGGGGGGGGGGGGGGGGTCACTGGGTGTGGGGGTGTTGGTTTGCACTGGTGGGGGGGGGGGGGGGGGGTGTGTGGGAGTGTTGGTTTGCACTAGGTGAGTGTTTGGCTGACCTGTGGGGGGGGGGGGGGGGAGTTCACTGGTGTGTGTGGGAGTGTTGGTTTGCACTAGGTGAGTGTTTGGCTAATCTGGGGGGGGGGGGGGGGTCACTGGTGTGTGGGAGTGTTGGTTTGCACTAGGTAAGTATTTGGCTGACCTGGGGGGGGGGGGGGGGGGGGGGGGGAATCACTGGCTTGTGTGTGTATGGGAGTGTTGGTTGGGGTTGTCGGCTGGCACATGTGCTTGTCAGCTTACCATAAATTGCTGTGTACACGTTGACCTTGTGTACAGGTCAGTTTCAGGAGTTTTAGTAGAAAGTGTTGAGCATGGCCTATGCCTGCCAAGCACATTTATTAGACTTTAAAACTTGACTTATACACCACAGTATGGTAGCAAAGTAAAAGCAATGATCCCTTTTCTTGCCTTAGGTGCATCGGGCATATGGGAAGAGCACTCATATTTTTACAGACCAATCTGCACTAGGTGGGTAATGTGGTCAGCATTATGCCGGCCATCTTTACTTCCCCAGGACATACATCCTGGTACCCACTTGAGGCTGGGTGGACCTGCATTGCCCCGTACCATGATGAAAATTCATGCAGCTAACAGTGGGTTTCGATCGCTGTACGTTGAATTACGAGTTGGACTCGCAGCGCCTAGGCTACGGATGCTGCATAAGTTTATGGTAGGCCTCTGAAGATGACAGAGGTCAATATTGACAGAAAGGAGTGGGTTCAAAAACCTTGATTCCTGGGTAAACCCAGCCTTCAATGCGTACCAGGGGAAAGTCTTATAAAGGGGGCTGGCGTGATGTTGACACATCACCCATCAATGCCAGTTGGTTTATAAAATATAGGTCTGGTACTATTTTCCCTATAGACCTGAAGGTGCAGAAAAAGGACCTTCATTTTACTTCACTCAGATTATATAGATATACAAAATAGATCATATTTCTTGGAAACAAAAAGAGTCAGACATTGAGATTATGAAGAGACTAGATATGAAAGGCAAAAAACATACAATAGGGAGAAGCGGGTAAGAGCTAGGAAGTGATTCAGGTGGGAGGGTAACACCAAAAGATGGGCGAACAACAGCTTGAGAGTGTACAACAAGAATAAGTGATAGAGAGTTCCCCATGTCGGTTCTGGGGCTGCAATTTGGGGAAAACAACAATAGACCCACTGTCTCCCCCACAAGCATGACTTAAGAGTAGACTAATTTAGAGTTTTTTTTTAGGTCGGAGTGCATCTGCCCGAGTGGTAAGGACTTGGTGTCTGATATCTGCACGCCCAGTTTGAGACTCACTGGAAATAGTTTTTTTGTTTGTTCTTTGGGAGCTTCCATGGTGTAGTGACTTGATGCTTACCTGCAGATCTGAAGGTCGTATCCTGACAAAGCTGAACTGTTTTCCCCTTTTAAAAATGACCTTGGCTACCCATTCTACCGAGCCCTAATTGGGTACCAGGTAAAGTCTGGGAAATAAAAGTGACAGGCGTGGCATTAGCAACATCACCCACTGAGTGCCGTATGATCTGTATAATGTAGGTCTGTTACTATATGCAGGTTTGCATCTGTGGCTTAGGCATTGCAAACTAGCTTCGTAGTGCAGAGTTTGATTCCAGCTGCGGACAATTTGTCTTTCGTTGGTTTCGACAGTGGTACCGAGAGCTGACCATTCAGTAGGCAATGGCAAACTCCTGACCGAAAAACCACAACAGTTAAAAAATGCTGGGGTTGGTTTTGCTATGTCCTGTAAAGGATACACAACTAACTTTGGAAAAAAAAAACATCTATATGCCACATACGCCTGAAGGCAACATTCAAAGAAGCAAACGACACCTTCTCCATGACAACCAGCAGCATGACGATGGAGGTGATGGCAGTGACGCACCCGTGTCAGTGATTCAATGAGTATGATCCGGAGGGTTCAGGCAGGTTCAGTGCGAAGACAATGGCTTGAATCATTACAGAAGTCCACTGTGCGTGGAGTCACCTTTATTTTTGTTCCGGGAGACGCAGGCGTCAATGGAAATGAAAGAGCTGACAGGTTGGCTGGATCCGCTATCACTTCCGACGGTCAGCCTATGGATCATGCTGATATTATCAATGCCCTCAGAGAAATGGAAAGGATAGAGGACTTTAATGGCAGTGAATCCACATCACTCGCCAGAATGGCAGACTTGGGAATTAGGATCGGCATAGCAAAAAAAAACGAAACGCACACCAGACACGCCAGAAGACTTGTTAATCAACATAGAACTGGTACTGTTAGCCATCGGACGTTGGGGTTCATACTGAGGGGAGGATCTGAGCACCTATGGACATGTCCGGAGTGCAATGAGGATAACCCAACTAACTAACTAACTAACTAACTAACTAACTAACTAACTAACTAACGCCCGAAGGCGTGGAAAGAGGCTCTTTAATTTACTTTACTTGTTTGTTTATTGACCACATGCGTGCACCATACATTACATTAAGAGTATATGCAGCCCTTGATCACTGTTAGTTTTAAAATGTTAAAGCAAGTTTTACTTTTAAAAAACAAAATTTCTCCACACACAGGTGGCTATGACGGCACTGACTTTTTGTCATCAGTGGAGTCGTATTGTGCCGAGGGAAACAGATGGGATGAAGTCACCAACATGACCTGTGGACGCAGCGGCCATGGAGTTGCGGTGGGAGCAGAGCCGCCCATTAAGTGATTTGAACTCAAGTTTTTGTGGTAGCAGGCCACGTACAAAGTAGTGCACAGAACGAGGGCATTTCAGGTCCTGGCAGGAATTTAAAAAATAATACAAGTGTTTTTGTAAAGCCTGGATATGTGACAACGACGACTGGAGTGTTTGGTCTTAACATCTGGTATTTTGTCGCAACCCAGTTATCTTGTCACGCCAAGTTGTCATGACTTCTGTTGGTTCAGCTAGCGTGTTTTTGTAATCCAGATGTTCTGGTAGTTTTCAGCATTTTACACACAGTATTTTACATCCTGGGATAAGACTTGATTAGAATTTGGTTTAAAACCAAGGGGGATGGGCTTAATTGCACAAGGTTTTAGTCTGTCTGGCTCGGTCTTTCTCCACAGAACGAATTGCTGCCTGCCAAGAGCATTACATAAAGCAGAAACATTGTCCAGGGATTGCTGTAAAAACTGCACTAATGAAATGCATGACACGAACCCAGAACTGAGACCACAGTGAGTCCATAACCTGAGACAAATGGCTTTTAGCTACGGCGAGTCCACATTTTTACACCGTGCAGTAAATTATTCAACTTATTCTTCGTTATCATATATTGGAGAAAAGTGGAGCACCTTGTGTTGGTAAAACTGGCAAAACCTTGTGTTGGTAGAAACTGGCAAAACCTTGTGTTGGTGAAACTGGCAAAACCTTGTGTTGGTGAAACTGGCAAAACCTTGTATTGGTAAAACTGGCAAAACCTTGTGTTGGTGAAACTGGCAAAACCTTGTGTTGGTAAAACTGGCAAAACCTTGTATTGGTAAAACTGGCAAAACCTTGTCAAAACCTTGTGTTGGTAAAACTGGCAAAACGTTGTGTTGGTAAAACTGGCAAAACCTTGTGTTGATAAAACTGGCAAAACTTTGTGTTGGTGAAACTGGCAAAACCTTGTGTTGGTAAAACTGGCAAAACCTTGTGTTGGTAAAACTGGCAAAACCTTGTGTTGGTGAAACTGGCAAAACCTTGAATTGGTAAAACTGGCAAAACCTTGAGTTGGTGAAACTGGCAAAACCTTGTGTTGGTAAAACTGGCAAAACCTTGTGTTGGTGAAACTGGCAAAACCTTGAGTTGGTAAAACTGGCAAAACCTTGTGTTGGTGAAACTGGCAAAACCAACTGCCACGGCTGTCTCTGTTTACCAGCTGTGCCGTGTTGGCAGGGAGGTCTTTAAGCCTGAAGATTAAGGGCCGCATGGCTGGGGTCTTAGTTCTGCTGTAAGTATCAGGACAGCCTACTTATTGTGCAGAAAATGTGACACACTTAACCCTCTCAGTTCCATAATTTCATAGCTGCTGCCTGATGGAAACAACAGTGATGACAACAAAAAGAAAGGGTGTACAGCACCCACAGGGTCCAAATCCACAGCACATTGTGGGTGACCTGTGTTGTTGGATAAATTTAGTTTGCCTTACTAAACTTAGGATGTACAAATATACAATACATGTGTGACTGGTGCTCATGAGTAATATCTAGTAGGCATGGTGCATATCTAAAACACATGGTGTGTATTTAGTACACATGGTGCTTATCTAGTACATACGGTGCATTGTTCGGCACTGAAAGAGTTGAACTGTTGTCAGTCATTAAAAAAAAACATGTTTTGAAAACATGTATCATTGACATGTATGTATTTTTTTTTTTTTTTTTTTTATTTTAGCTTTCAGATACTTAATATGTGGCTGAGAGTCTGTAGATAGATTGAAGTTATTGTAAAACATGTCCACCCAAGATTAGGAATTGAGAACTTCACATATACTAGGTAGCAGCCTGTGGGATGAGACAAATAATGTCCGGTCAGATAAGATGTCTATTGTATTGCTGTAGATTTGTTGCCAACCAAACATAAAGATTGCATGCCCATAAACAGCATTATTGTGAGACAGTATTGATATTAATGAATTAAGATCATGAAAATGAAATCTAGAGTAGAACGTTTAAAAAAAACAAACATGTATTTTAAAGATTCAAAGTTTAGAAATTTCAAACCTAACAGATGCTTGGAATCCACCAAACAATAGTTACATTTTCTAGGCTAAATGTTTATGCTGCTACCAAACTGTCACAGCTTTGACAGTTACTCTGACAAATGTTTGGGTTAGTACCAAACTGTAGTTCAAGTTTCGACTGTTACTCACACTTGTGCTTTTCTTCCACTGCAAGATGACACAATGAATAAAAGTGGCTACACCACAGCAGAATATAAAACAATATCTACTATGGTAAGAAAAACATAATCTAAATCTTTTTTTTTTTTAATTCCCTCTCTGGGAGTGCAGCTTGAAAGATGGATACTCAGTGACTCAAAATGCCACTATTTGGATGTGAATTCCATTAAACAGTATACAATTGTAATACTGGGTTGCCACTATTTGGATGCAAATCCCATTAAACATTATAAAATTGTAATACTGGGTTGCCACTATTTGGATGCGAATCCCATTAAACATTATAAAATTGTAAAACCGGGTTGCCACTATTTGGATGCGAATCCCATTAAACATTATAAAATTGTAATACCGGGTTGCCACTATTTGGATGCGAATCCCATTAAACATTATAAAATTGTAATACCGGGTTGCCACTATTTGGATGCGAATCCCATTAAACATTATAAAATTGTAATACCGGGTTGCCACTATTTGGATGCGAATCCCATTAAACATTATAAAATTGTAAAACTGGGTTGCCACTATTTGGATGCGAATTCCATTAAACAGTATAAAATTGTAATACTGGGGCGCCCTACAACATAATTGGTTTTTATTTAGGAAGCACTGTAAATGTGATGATCTTTGTATGTTAGCTTGTTTCTCTCAGTTTGTGGGCACCGCCCTGTGTTTTGTATGCTGATACTGTATTTGTGTTAGTTCAATTAAATTTATGTGAATATGTTCTTATGTACATAAAACAGATAATAATGAACCCATTGCTGAAAAACCATTGGATTTCTGCTTGTTTCCCTTTCATCTGTCCATCGCTGGCTCTCAGCAATATGAACAGATGCATCACTTGCACTTTTTACTTTCCTCTTCATTTGTGTTCTTGCACCCTTCTGCTCTCCATCTGCCCCTCCCTCCTTGTCCATCTTTTTTTTTTTTCCTTTTCACTTTTGGGGTCATAATCAAAATGTGTAGAGGTGAGAGCTATCAGCATTATTCCACTTTATTGTGAAACTAATTATTTGATTAAATCAAGCCTACCAATACCTGATTGTGGCTCTTCCGAATACCGGTCCCAAATTATTCACTGCCGAAAAACATCCCTCAGGAGGTTATGTAGTAAAACTGTTTAGGCCATCATGATCAGTGTCCACTTGTGCCGTTATTGCTCGCTGGATATCAATGTTTAGACGTTAAGTTAAACGCCGTGGGGAGGAATCGTTTTCGATCCATTGAAGCGACGTGGAAAAGAATAGATTTAGATCCATTTTTTAAGCGGCTTGGGGAGGAATAGAGTTCGATCCATTGAAGCGACGTGAATGATTTTTGATCCATTGTGTACATTACCCATTACTGCCCTTGCGGGGTCCAGGGCCACATGTTTTAGGGGAAAGAAAAAATAGATCCACTGCCACATAAAAGTTGTAAAAGGCGACTAATTAGGACTGCTGAAATCGGATGCTTTAAGGCAAAGGGCGCAGATATCGCAGCCTAGCTGTAAACCACAACACAACGTGAGAACCATTTTTTCAAGGGCGAACGAAAAGAACGAAGTTTACCTACCCGTGACATTATCATTGAGCATCTCGCCGCCGCTATCGCAGCCTAGCTGTGAACAGCAAGAACAAGAGAAAGGGGCATATTTCGCAGCCTAGCTGTAAACCACAACACAACGTGCCAACCGCCCTGTTAAGGGTTAAAAAATGACCTCTTGAGGCCCTGAATAGGATTTTTTAACGGTGAATAATTTGGGACCGGTATTCGGAAGAGTGCCCCTGATTGTGACAGCAGTATTCTCAACATGTTTGAGTTAAAATCAATTGTAAATAGTCTTTCTGTTTGTGTTTGTGAAGTATATTTTTATTTTCATGAACTCTGTTTATTAAATTACTGTAATTTGTATGTATCATGCTTTTTTTTCCTCTTCTTCTTCTGCGTTCGCCTGTTCAAGGGCGGTTTACCACACATGGTATTGTGGTTTGCAGATTGGCTGCGATAACCGTGCCACTCAGCCTGAAAGATCAGATTTAAACGCAACCCTGAAATAGTCAACTTTTACGATATGCTTGTCAAGGGATAGTGATTCTAGTCTTTTCTCCTCACAATGGGGCCTCAGAACCTTACATGGGGACTTGAGGAATTCAAAGAATAGAAGCATTACACCTAAGAATAGAAGCATTATACCTAAGAATAGAATCATTACACCTAAGAATAGAAGCATTACACCTAAGAATAGAAGCATTACACCTAAGAATAGAAGCATTACACCTAAGAATAGAAGCATTACACCTAAAAATAGAGGCATTACACCTAAAAACAGAGGCATTACACCGTTCCCAGCAAACCATAAGAGGCTACTAACATGAAGAGTTGAAGAGGAAGAGAAAATGTTCATCTCTGGCAAACATTATCAAAGAAAGAAGATGCACTACTCATTTCTCCCCTAATAAGAAAGAGGTGACTAATTTCCGGTATTTACTTTGAAGTATTGAATGCATTTCCCTGAGAGGCGAGGAACCAGCAGTTTGCAAATAGATAAGCCAGATCTGGAAAAAATGAATGTGCTGGCAAAACTCAAGTTCAAGAACTAGACCAAAGTGCAGAAGTGGATGAACAGCCAGAACTTTCTGCTGGAGTTTACAGTTGATGAACATGAAGAAGAAGAAGATTCTCCTCTTTGAGGTAGTGATCCTACAGACTGCAGTCCAGAAGGGGGAGGGGTGAAGGTGATGTAGGGTCCCCCCCCCCCCCCCCCCCCCCCCCCCCCCCACTCTACATTCTTACAGAAATGTATGAGTAAGTACAGCAT